CAGCAGGTACGTAACTTGATTAGTTCGCGTTTGTCATTTTGCTCGTGACAAAAGAATCTTCCGAATTTAAATCATTATGGCGTCTCTGATGTGTGAAGGAACAGAGTTCAGACAAAACAGCAAGTCAAAGAGAAGATCTAAGAAGACGTGGACTCTGCCTGATGCCCATCTCAAGCACCTTTCTGGTCGCTTCTCAGATGAACCCTTCTGATTTCTGGAACCTTCCATTCTGTGTAAACTTCAAATAGACACAATTAAAGATCCTAAAAAAAAGTAGGGTTTATGATGATGAATGCCACTTCCTCTTCATTTGTCCTTTTCCCCACCTCAAATCCAAGGCGTGAATCACGCCATTCATTCAAGAACAGCAAAAGGACAAAAAATCAACGTAAAAGCAACCATCTTTAGACATGTTTCAGTGCTTTTTACAAGCACTGTGATTAACGGTAGCATTCAAATAATTACCATGACAATGACAATGGCAATGACCATTTCAAGATCCAAAAAAGATTACCAGTGCCACGCAAAATCACAATCCAAGATTAATCCGAGATATCGAAACATTATATACAGAGCATCATCATTCATGTTCAGCTGGTGTGAAAAGGTGACATCTTGTTTATTATTAGCTTGCGATCCACAAAAATGGCATTAACTTTTGTCCCAATTAGACATAATGAAGAAAAAAACATGCCCGGAAAGGGAATCGGTTCTGTCCCCCTTAACACCGTTATGTTACTGTCCCCACGAGAGATCACAACGGACAACTAAAGTAAAGTCAAATGCAGCCCCTAACTCTCTGTGGATCGGGTTTATAATTTACTTATTTCATCAAGAAAACGAAAGGTTAATCAAACTTAGACCGACCTAAGAAATAACCAACTACAAGGAATATTCCACCTAAGAACACTCGTAATAACGATCAATCAACTGGTTCGAATCAATGGATAAAAGGGTATTCATTCACCTGAAGCAGCTAAAGGAAATGCCTTGTGAAGTGCCCTTCATCACTGAAACCAGCCGTCTTCCATGGTGGGAGTTCTGTCTTCTTCTGCTGTGGGATCTATCATCTAGTACAGAACTTCTTCGGTGGAATTGAAAGACCAAAACTTTCTCCATTCCATTTCCATGGTGAGTATATACCGAAGAGTATCAGTTCTGAGTGACAAATGATTCGAGCACAATCCCATCAACAAGCAACACAGCCTCATCACACAATTCTCCAGAAGGTGGCACTGAATCAATCAGGCAATAACATTTGACAAGGGAAGAAACACAATAATCCTCATGTAGGAGTAGGCCAATGAACTCAACTGGCTTAACAGCATGTTGAATCGAAGCCACAGCCGAATACATTGGAAAAAAAAACATTAGTCTACACGAATACACAGCTGAATTCTCTCTCTCTCTTTGATATTTCCAACAGCAAGATTATGCAGACATATATATACCTACACATGAGTGATTAAGGTGCTCTGAATGGGTTTTAGGTTCCAGAAAAATCAAAATCGGCATAAAGGGGATAAAATGCTTCGAAAATGGGATGCTCGACCAACATCGAACAAAATTACAGTTCTGGAAAATGAACATTTTGAAGCACTTTGTATGATCCTTTATTTGAATGTACAAAAACCAAAAACGAAAAGCTTTTGCTTCGCCTGAAAACCTAGGCATCTTTCTTTTGTACATGAACTACAAGAGGAGAAACAACACAGAAAACCAACTCACCTCCATAGCCAGACCATCCAAACCAGAGAACTATAATCACGGAACCACCACCGGAAAAAAATGATCTTTTTCGCTTCCTCTTTCGCGGTAACCCCAAACCCAACATTCCCAATCAAGCAAGCATCGAATTTCCATGCAAAGTCCGAACCAAATTAGCAGCATTCCTCCTGATTTTCTCACCCTCATCCTCCATTAGATTCAAGCATATCTCAATAACCCCTTCTCTCCCTACTTCGTCTAGAATTTCTCGGCTACAACAACACAAGCAATTCAGGATAAAAAGGGCGTATTGAATTCCCTTGGCACTTCCTTTGCCCAACACGTTAACCAGAACCTTAACACACCCACTTACTTTGATCATCTCATCTCTTCCTCCTCTGCACTTAACCAGAAGTCCCAACACTTCCACCGCCCTCTCGAGACCAGAATCCACCGCCTGAACCAAAATCGGTACCGACCCACAATCCACAACACGTTTCCGGTTATCAGGAAACGAACAGAGAGCGTACAGAGCCGTCGCTGCTTCTTTTCTTTCTCGGTTATTTCCATTCCGAAGAAGAGAAACAAGAGCCGGAATTGCATCTGGGTACGAGCCGATTGTGGCTTTGTTCACTTCCACGACCGCCAAACTCGTCAGCAGAGTAGCTGCAACCGCTCTGCAATCGGACGACCCGATCCGTAAGAGGCGCACGATCCGCCTCACCACTCCATCGGCGACCAAACCCACTTTGTTGTCGTCTTCGAGACTGAGGTTCAGAAGCAAAGAGAGCGCCTTTTCCTGCAAACAGAGATTACCCGAGTCGACACAGTCCAGAACCGCCGGCACAGCGCCTGACTCAGTGACCCTCCGGCGCAGAGAAGAATCGCGCTTCGTGACCCGGACAAGGCGAATAAGGGAGCCGAGCTTCAGCTCAGGAGACGACGATCGGGAGACCAGGGCAGAGATCAAAGCCACGGGCTGCTCATCGTCGGTCCCAAGACATGATTTCTGAGGAGAGACGAGGGCATAGTTTGAAATTAAGCTCCGGAGAGCGTGGTTCGGAATCAGAGAAGGGTTCTCCGGCAATGGAATCTTGCTGATGGGACAAGTCCGGTTGCCGGAATCAAGCCACCGTTGGATTGAGACCCGGTCGAAGGTATGGCCTGACTGGAGAATAACCGGGTCCGACATAATCTCCAGAGAGATCGGGCATCTGAAATCGTCCGGCAACTTCGACGCCATGTCCACTTTCCCTCTCTAGATTCCGAGAAGAAAGAGAGAGAGAGAGAGAGGGAGAGAGAGAGAGAGAAAGGTTTATCAGATTCCTGTAGAGGAGCCGTTCTGCTCAAAGACTCTGCCTTTCCGCCTTCGTTATAAAACCCACAAAGGAGACTACAGACTCGTGAACCGTGAAGCTATTGCCATGGCATGGCATGAACCGAAATGACGATACTGCCCTTCTATTTTTGTGGAGGAGGGCATTTTGGGATAAAATAAAACCTGTTCTAGAAACAGTGGTGCTATTTTTATTTCAAATCATTTTCGTTCCAAAAAGAAACTTTTAACAAAGATTTTCAACGATCCAGCCAATCAATCAATTTCAGTGGAAAAAGAGGATGAAATAATAAAACATAACTGTTTACTTATAATTATACGATTTACCTAATAAAAAATAAAATTGTGAAGAAAACCTATAAATTACGGGATAATTAATTATATAACTAAAAATAGTTAGATATTTTTGCAAAGTAACTAATATTAATTAACGTATATTGATGTACATATGTACTAATGTAATGTTATCAGTAAAATACATATTTATTTGGCAGATCTTATCATTGGTATGTCTATATGTACATGTATATACGTACACGTACCTTGCAGAAAAGATTGGCGAAAGTTGGGCCTCCAGAAGTCAGAATCGTCGGCCCATCGTAGGGCCCATCTCCTAACGTTTCGCGATGACGTGTCAATTTTCCGACAGAGACATCAGTTACTAACTGAAATAAATCCAAAATTAAGCGGAAGTGGTTAATAAAAAAATAAAAAAATGATTAAAATATTTTAAGGAGAAAAAAAATCTAATATTTCAGAAATTAATTTGTAATGAGCTACAAAATTTTATAGTAATCGTGTTCCTTTACCTTTCCGATGCGTCTAAAATCGTGTTCATAAACTTGTCATGAGAGATGCAAGTCCTTACATCAACTTGAGTTCTTGTCTGAAAACATCGAGTGGTTTGACTTTGACCACAATTTTATGAATTTCATATTCTGTCTGATTATACAAATGAAATGACAACCACTGAATATCTTTCCACCCTCCAAGGGCCAATTCGGGATTTCAGATCTTGGATCGTCTGACTTGGTGAACGAGCTCTCTCCTCAATATTTTACCAGAAGCCGATTTCGGGACACTGCTTATGAAAGAGACCCGACGCAGCCTCTTGAAAGGAGCAACCTGGGAAGGGGAAAACACAGAGCATTCGCCATTTCAATGAACGTGTCTGTTGAAAAAAAAAATTGGAAAGATGGTTGCTTTGATGGATGGAATGAGTGTTTTTACCTGCTTAGCTATGAAATTTTGTATCTCTTCCTTTGTCAGTGAGCTACCGGGAGCCCGGACGACAAACGCTATTGGCACTTCACCAGCTTCTTCATCTGGGTACCTGCAGCAACATTCACCATTGATTGCTATTGCTGAGCTGAGCTATGGGAATAGATTCAAGACTTCTGATGGTGATTGATCATCATTCATTTCATTCAACATTCATCATTGATTCACATCACTTACGGGATAACGACAGCGTCTAGTATCTCAGGGTGAGATACAAGAAGCCCTTCAAGTTCAGCCGGAGCAACCTGGGATCGAGTTATATTACACAATAGGATATCAGTCTCCAGATTGGGACATGAAACCGGTATGATCTTACATAACTCACTGCTTATTCAGTTGACTTTAGTTCTCAGAATTACATCAAAACACAGTCCATGCCTATCATAGATTCATTTGAATGGAAAGTTAAATCCTTTACAAGGACTTTCAACTCAAGTTCGAAGAACATGAACTTACGAAGCAGTTGAAGAAATAATCCGTAGTTTAACGGAGATCAACCAACTGGAAAATTTGCACGAACCGAACATACAAAAGTTACCTGGAAGCCTTTGTATTTGATAAGTTCTTTGATCCGATCAACAACATAGAGGTTACCATCCTCATCGAAGTAGCCAAGGTCCCCGGTATGTACCCAACCCTTTTTATCAATTGTCTCCTTCGTCGCCTTAGGGTTATTAAAATAACCTGAAACACAATCGATTAACAAGATTTGAATTAGGATATCAGTGGATACTGAAAGATTCAAACAACTGTATAACACTAGTTGTGTTAAGTGCATTTGGAAAATAAACATATGATCTTTCTTTTCCCCATCTTCCAAAGGCTGATACTTTCAAAACTAAAATCGGGATTGAATGCTACCTCTCATCATGTTAGGCCCTCGGACCCATATTTCACCTAACTGTTTAGGAGGCGACGGTTTTTGAGTTTCAACGCTCACTACCTGAGCTTCAACTCCAGAGACTAGCATTCCGGCTGAACCCGTATTCCGTTTCCCCAGTCTTGGATCCTCCAGAGAGATGATCCCACAAGTTTCAGTCATGCCATATCCCTGAAAAAAGATAATAGGTCACACTCCTTTCATGAAATGCACATTTGAAAACATTTCACATTAAATGACTCCCTTCACTGATGGCAATATCTCCACATGAATAGATTTAGGGATAAACACAAGACAAAAACGTGCTCTGCATTGGTCTATTCATGTTGGCTTTGATGAATGAATTCCAAGAACATTTTTTTTTCAGTATCCAATGAAACCTTAAGTGTCTCAACAAACAAAGATTTGATCAGCTATGATTTCTATTCACCAGAAAACAGCTCGGCCTAATGATAGGGTGGCTCTAACCCACTCAATACAGAAACCAAGAACAGGACGATCAGAGTACCTGCAAGAGCATCACGTTAGGCATATTTTTTCCGCACTCATCCATCAACTCTTTTCCAAGAGGTGCAGCCCCCGATCCAATGTACTTCAACGATGAAAGATCGTATTTTCTCGCAGCACTTTGCTTGGAAAGAGCAAGGAAAACAGGAGGAACGACCCACAGATTGGTGACTCGATACTTTTCGATGTTCTTAAGAAGAGCATCGAGTTCGAATTTCGCCATGGAAACCACAGCATTCCCCTTCCGCAGCTGAGAATACGTTATCACTGCCAATCCAAACACGTGGAACATCGGAAGGAAGCACAAGAACACATGGTGCATCTCTCCCATGAGCTCCTGATCCATCGTTATCATCAAAGACGCCGCAATGAAATTCCTATGAGTCAATTCAACGCCTTTGCTCGTTCCTGTGGTGCCGGAAGAATACAACAGAGCAGCCGTGTCGGATTGTTTGACATCGACGATCGGGAAATCCGAGGAAGACCCAGATAGATTCATCACGTCATGGAAGCTCATAACCTTCGTGCTCGACCCGGTACGAGGAACCTGTATGGATTCTCCCGGACCAATCAGAACAACGGGGAGATCAAAACCCTTAATTTTGTCCAGCAGTTGGTGGACAGACACAATGATCTTCGGCTTCGAGTCCTTGATCTGCTTCGAAAGCTCCTCCACCGTATAAAGCGGGTTCGCGGTGGTGGCGACGCCGCCGATTGCGGTGACGGCGAAGAAACAGAGAGGGAACTGGAAAGAATTCGGCGCGAAGATCAACACAACGTCGTTTTTGTGAATACCCAGACGGAGAAACCCGTGTGCAAGCCTGGCGACGGTGGATTTGAGCTGAGAGAAGGAGAGGGACTCGCCGGAATCGGCGTCGATGAGGGCAGGCTTCATCGGGTACGAAGAAGAATCACGGAAGAGGAAAGAGACTAAGGAGAGATTTGGGTCTTTTGGGAGAACGAGAGGCGGACGGAGAGATCGGAAAATGCCGTCCCTGCCATAGCCGGATTTCTCCATCGCCGGAGAGATTCGAGGGAGATGATGAGACGCAGCAGATAAGAAGAAGACAGCGGAGGACTTTTGATTATTTAGAGCGAAAGAATAGTACTTAAATCCACGAATTCAGATAATCATACGTTAATTACGAGTAACCAAAAAGACTCCAATAGATATTAGGAGTTCTAATACTGTCATAATCATTTCATTGTTGATTATGAATTTATACATTTGCCCATAAATAGTTTGACTTTTCATCAATTAGTTAATAGCGATCCACGTGGCGCTCAAGCCGTCTCTTATAATTGCATAATTACACAAAAGATGTACTAGTATTTATCGTCTGTAATCACCGACCAATTTGTTGGAAATAAATTGACATTGCAATATAACACAAATAATACTTTATGGTTCACATAAATCCACAGAGGACGTAAAGCCAAAGACAAACCAAACCACATTGGAAAACACGAAAACTTGGATCCGGTTTCAACAAACTAAAGAGTCCGACCCGGGTCCGTATCCGGTTCGGTTCTGTGTTGTTCCTCGACGCCAGGGACCATCATACCGGGATGATAAACATGGACCGGACCCGGGCTTTTTATCCCATAATAACCGCTCCGGTTTACTCCATCGGGAGCCATCATAACAGGCTGAACCGGTCCACCATATACGTGACCCGAACCGGGAATCGGATGAGGCTGGTGGTAACCCATTGGTACATGATGATGACCGGATTGCACGTGATGGTACTGTGGAAGAAATTGCGCCGGCGCCTGAGCCTGAACCGGAGCCGGAATATGTTGAACCGGAGCATGGCTGGGATGAACCGGACTGGAAACATAATAAACCGGCACCGGGTGAACTGCATGACTAGGGTAGTGAACACGCGGAGAAGGGTATTGCCACGGCGTGTTGCCCAGGTGACCGGTTTGCTGACTTACCGGTTCGGGTTGAGAGTCGGTTTCGTCCCGGTTTGAGATGGAATCCAGGTCAGGGTTTTCCGGTTTGATTTGAACCGGTGGGAGTTCCGGCGTCGAAGAACGCAATACAGGAGCCGACGAGGTGGACCCGAACGGTGAAGAAACCTGACCGGGCGAACCCGGATCCGAAACCGCCGAGATTTCCCGTCGGATCTTCGGTTTTGGGTCACGCTCTTCTTCCGGGTTATCCAACCCGAATAGGTAATCGGGCACTTCCGACACGATGGATGAAACTTCAGAGCGGTTGCGCTCGATTCCGGCGACTGAACCGCCGGAGACGGCGCCGGCGGGGCCATTATTGAGGGCGTCGAGGAACCACTGCTCGCGGTTGACGGAGCTGTCGAGGAGGGAGCTGATACTGCTCGCTCGGCTGGCGCCGTCACCGCCGCCCCCGCTGGGGATGGGTTTTGATTCTGTGCGACGCGGTCGTACTCTTCCATCATGTTCTCGACGTCCTCATCCGTTGATACGGAGATCAACGCGTCAAGATCTTCGTTCGGTAGCTGGTACTTCACGCTGATGTTGCTTGTACCTTATCCACATTCCAATCAATCAATCAGACAACAATATTCCCTATCGAAATTAACAGCTGTCATAATTCCTGAATTTTGTGGCCATATATATTCGAATTTCCAAAATTAATTTTTTCCACATAAACAAGTTATGTAATAAAACAATATGGAATTAAATGATTGTAAATAGAAAATAAGTTGACTAACTAGCAAAGATGAATTTTTTTTTTGTCCGAAAGTCCTAAAAAATCCGAACTTTAAAGTTTACACTTTACAGCACAACAAATCCAAACTTTCAAAAGATATAACATTTAATTAAAGATCAGAAAAGCCAATCAAATGCTCTAAAAATTGTTCATAAGCCTCAAAGAATTTGTCTTTCAGCTTTAGTTTGATTCGTAGACTTCAAAGTTTGAAGCTTTTTTCATAAAAAAAAAAGTTTGGAGTTTTTTTTCAAACATTAGAACAAGCTAATAACTTTTTTTTGGCAATAATTTCCCCTTCAGAAAAAAAAAACAAGCTTCTGGGCTTTCAAAATTTACATCATAATGCGATGGATCATCGTTTATCAATCGTTTCCCCAGTTTGGATGATTTCCAGCATCCCCACAAAACAAATTACCCAAATCAGATTACTTTTTTCCAGAAACATCCCCATCGAAATCATAAAGTTAATTTAGTTCCTCATAATATAATTTTAAATCATAAAGTCACGAAACCCACATGATCGTAAGCTAATAATTCAGGATCCAACAAGAAAAACCAAAGCTTTACAGAAAAAAAGTACCAGAGAGCTTGGAGAGCTTGTGGAGGAGAGAGGAGAAGGAGGTGTGTCGATGGACGGCGACGATGCGGTTGTCGCCGCCGACGTAGGAGAGCTGGTTATCGTGCGGTCGAGGGAGGATCTTCCCGCCGAAGGTGCACATCAGCCGTACACGTGGCAGTGGATCGTACTCCGACGTCCTCGGCGACGACGCCACCGAGTCGTTGTCTAGCTCCGGCGGAAGCATCGATGCCATTTTTTTTATTTGTCTGTTACAATTTTGTTTTTTTTTAGTGCTTTTTTATTCCGATGAATAAAACGGAGAAATATATATATACACAATACACACACAAGCTGAATGTGTCGTGTGGTTGGTGGATGATAGAGAGACAGGACTGTGATGGATATAGAATCACAGTCAATGTCTATAGTTACCACGCCCTTTTTTTTAACTGTCCCAATGCGTATGCAAAGATCAAATACAAAAATCGTGTGATATGATGTAATTAGGAGGAAAATAAACTAGTCATTTAACACAAATATTCTAGGATTGGTAAATTAAATAAACGTTTTCAGACGAATTTATGACTTATACAATGAAATATGAAGTTCGATCCTATATAATCACGAATTTTTTAGTACCAATACAATGAAACATGAAGTCTAACCTTATAAAATTCGGATTTGGGTTTGACTGAACTGATCAGATATAATCCCATCAAATTTTTATAGATATTTTTATTTTTTAAAATAAATTAATCGAGTTTTTAAATCGATATGAAATATCAAATTTTTTTAGATCAATGAATTTAGATTTGAAATCCGATATTTTTTTATGGACTCGAATTGGTTTCGAATCAAAATTGACATATTTGTATGTATCCTATGAATTATTTAGTCTCGAGTAGCTTAAATTTTCCAAGGAAAGTTTTTTTAAAAATATATTGTTCCATCGTGTATATATATATATATATATATATATATAAGGTGTAACTAATATGTATTTTTTCCACAGCAGATTCTCTACTGTGTTTTAAATCATCTTAATTAGTCTGACGGCAAAAAATATATATAATAATATTGAGCAAATTATTGCTGTGATTATAATTATAATTATGAGGAGCTGGTAGTATCTGACGTCAAGGTTGAGTGGGTAAACAATGGTGGACGGCAAAATAAAATGTTTATATTAATCATCATTACATAATAACTAAATTTGGAGTCATTGCAGACTTTGGTGTAACTCAACTCTCAATGACGTCAAATTCCATTTTTTTTATACTAAAATATTGACCAGACAAAATTAAATTATCCTTCACATTATATATATATATTAAGGGCTCGAAGCATCGGTATTCGGTGGAAATGGGCTCAGCCCATATGGAGTTGGCGTTATATGGGCCTATGTCTCCAGTTAGGTCCATTTAACAGTCGTTTTCTTGTTACACAACATAATTTATAGTTTGTCTCGTCTTTAAAAACATTGAATATACTTTTATTAAAGAACTGTAATTAATTGTTTACTATGATATTTGATCTCATTTTTCGGTGACTATGTATCAATTAATTATCCAACCCATAGAATTCAAGTGTTTATAGTCGAATATTGATTAGCATGTGTATTAATAGCCACGACTCTATGGTAATGCGATGTATTATTGCATTCTTTTGGGGGGAAATTGTAGTCCAAATCCTTGGGCAATGGGGAAGCATTTATATTTGAGCAAGTGGCCAAATCGCCACCAAACTGCCACCATAGTCAATGGTATTACTAGAAATATTGTCATTTTCTAACATATAATTTATAGGAAAATATGCATCCATACCCCTACTTTTTTTCATTATACTTATCCTTTTCTGCTTTGTCTAATTGCAATTTGCAATATATATATATAGAAAATGGTAATGATTCATATTTTAGAATATATATAGAATATCATATAAATTTCTTAAAATGGGTCAAATAATACAAATTACTCTCGAAATATTGAATTTTTGGTACGGTCCCTGGTAGGGTAAGTATCGCTTTGCTGTGAATCGACTTCCTTGTATATAAATATATACAAAGATGTATTATTAAAATATTTTAGAAAAAATATAAGTATTGAAATGCATCTGTTATGATACATATATATAGTCTGTATTCAAAGTTTTACGTAATCATAAGCAATGAAAGGATATTTTCTCGAACACCAATGCGGGAAAATTAAATGTGAATAGATTTTCTCGGGAAAAGTTTCGGTTTCAGACATCTTTTTCTTCGGATTTGAATCCACAACTCTCCTTTGAAAAAGACGAATTTTTTTGTTTGCTGCCATCTTCATTCTTCTTCTTTTTTTCCTGGATTTCCGAGTTCTCGAGCTCTTTTTTTTTTCCGTCTCTTGTTTCGTTTCGTCAGTTATTCGTGTATTTTATTTTGGATCGCGTAGAAAACATGCGTGATACCTGCAGAATCTTCTACGGATCTTACTCAAGAGCTCTAACTCGTTGACTCTAAGTTTGGCTTTCACTTGTCCTGAAGACATCTCCAGTGATCTGTTTCGTTTCTGAGTTCTGTCTCGGCAAAGACTACAATGTCGGTTTCCGACGAGAACCAACCCCCAGAGAGGCTCCAGGTTTTGTTTTCCAAAGAGATCTCTACTCAGATTCAGACCAGGTTTTATTTTTCTTTTCAGAGCCTTGATCTGTTATGTCTGGTGATAATCAGGGCAAGAATCAAGCAGTGGTCGTTTGCTTCATTCTTGGAATCGGATCGCTCGTCTCCTGGAACAGTATGGTCACCATTGGAGATTATTACTATCAAGTTTTCCCGGTACATAGTTCTTGGTTTTCCCCCCCATTGTTTCCCGGTACAGAGTGTTACAGATTCTGTTCTTGGCTTCTGAATCTGCTTTCTTGTTTAGGATTACCACCCTTCACGGGTTCTTACGCTCGTGTACCAGCCGTTTGCCCTTGGAACGATTGCGATTCTGGCCTATCACGAGTCAAAGATCGATACACGAAGGCGCAACTTGATAGGATACGTTCTCTTCTCCATCGGCACTTTCCTGCTCATTCTTGTGAGTATAATAATATTCAGATTCTTGAACTGCATTTTCTTTCAGACCGATCTGACACTTTAGCAAATGCCAACAGTTGGATATGGCGACGAGAGGAGGCGGTGGGATCGGTCCTTACATCGGCTTGTGTGCAATCGTTGCTTCCTTCGGGCTGGCAGATGCAACTGTACAAGGAGGAATGGTGGGGGACTTGTCATTGATGTGTCCCGAGCTCATCCAGGTTTCACTCCTTTTTGTCCAAAATCGGATCTTGAGTTCTGAATATCGGTTCAGATTAAACCGATTTATTTTGGGATTTTTTTTTCCCTGCAGTCTTTCATGGCGGGCTTGGCTGCAGCTGGTGCCTTAACTTCGACACTGAGGCTATTAACCAAAGCAGCCTTCAAATCTTCCAACGAGGGTCTCCGGAAAGGAGCTAGTAAGTACATTTATCAGATGTTCTACCGTCAAGATCGGACTGTAATGGCTATTAACTCTTCCATACTTTTGTTTCTGCAGTGTTGTTCTTAGCTATATCAACTTTCATAGAGCTCGTGTGCGTGTTCCTGTACGCTTACGTGTTCCCAAAACTGCCGATTGTTAAATACTATCGCAGAAAAGCGGCATCTGAAGGTTCCAAAACCGTCTCAGCTGATCTCGCTGCTGCTGGTATCCAGAACCAGAACCAATCAGAAGTGGTAATCACATGATCTTGGAATCTTCTCTGCTCGGTACTTATCACCATTTTCATAAGACGTTTCTTCATTTAACGAGGGTTTAGCTCCTGGAACCTTCTCTGCAGGCAGAAGATGACTCCAAGAATCTGCGTCTCAGCAACAAGGAGCTGTTGCTTCAGAACATAGACTATGCAGTCGATTTGTTCCTCATCTATGTCTTGACACTTTCCATCTTTCCCGGGTTCTTGTATGAGAACACAGGAGAGCACGGTCTAGGCGACTGGTAAAAGATCAGCTCGACCCAGATATGTTAACTCTGTTCTCAAGAAAACCCAGAAAACATAAACTCAAAGGCCCTAACTTTCTTGTCGTTGTCGTGGTTGCATTTCCCGACAGGTACGCTCTTGTCCTGATCGCGATGTACAATTTCTGGGATCTGATCGGCAAATATACATCATAACACATCGTCTCTGGTGAAGTTTCTCAAGTTAGAGAGCAGAAAAGGAATCACCTTAGCGGTCGTGTCACGGTTCTTGCTTGTCCCGGCATTCTACTTCACCGCGAAATACGGTGATCAAGGTTGGATGATAATGCTCACTTCCTTCCTGGGGCTAACAAACGGTCATCTCACTGTCTGCATTCTAACCACTGCACCAAGAGGATATAAAGTAAGTAACAAAACCCTTATAGATATGCTTTCAAATCATCGGTCTAGCTCGTCAAATTCTCAGATATCCGAGTTATTTTGCGTGAAGGGTCCGGAGCAAAACGCTCTAGGGAACTTGCTGGTGTTGTTCCTGTTAGGAGGGATATTTGCAGGGGTTGCTTTGGACTGGTTATGGCTTATAGGGAAGAAGAATGCCTTCTGACCAAATCATCTCTCCACCTGAAACTTCACTTGCAGAACGAAGACACGACACAGATTCATACGTTCTTGAGATGTAAGATTATGTTCGAGCTTTCGCAGATGTTGACAAAACCCATCATTTTATGAATTGAATTCTCTATCATGCATCAAAGTTTGCATCCTGGTCTGCAATTCTTGAACTTCTCTGACCACGAAGCGTCTAAACTTCATGAACATCATAACAGGGAAACTGAAATTAATCATACGTTGTGGACCAAAGATTTAGATTACAGATAATCAGGACAAAACAGGCAAAAGTGTTCAGCGCTGTTTCAGTTTTCAGATTCTGTCAGGTCAAACGAGTTAGTTGCATTTTCATCTTCGAAGAGCCCTGATTGATCAAGAATCATGAATTGAGATCTCGACTCGATCTTCTGAGGATCTCAACAAGTAACGCCATTAGGAGGAATCCTCGTCATCCTCTTCTCCGGAACCCTAGAAATCATCGAACTCTCTGTCACTTTGTTGGGCTTCTTCATCTTCTCCACTTCTCTCTTCAACACCATCCTTATCAAGTCCAACTGAACATCCCCTCTCTTTAGCTTCATCTTCCTCACAGCCTCCGCCTCACCCACTATCACTCGCTTCCTTTTCGAAGTTTTCCCCGGCCTCTGTGCCCTTTCTCCGACATTTAACTCGGCCTCCGATGATTCCTCGACACTTCCTGTCGGTGTTGCCTCAGATTGAGATGCAAGTGATGAGTTTCGCACGCCTTCTTCCCCTCCGTGGCCCGTCGGAGCGAGTGCATCGGAGGTTGAGCCTCCGTCTCCGGCATTAACCAAACGGTAAGGCTGACCGGAGAAAGATGGTGAAATTGAACGCCGGTTGGAGAAGAGTTACATGGAAGGACTGGTAAATTGGCAATCGAGGTAATTAATTGCATGGAGAAAGAGAGTCCTTTTTCAGTTAGGGTTCTTCACTCAAATGACCCATTTGGTCGCATCTATTTAACCTATACACCATCAAAAAATAACGGAGAAAATGAAATGAACAACACCACAAAATAATAGATAAACCGCCAAAAAAATATAATTTATAAACTAGAAATAAACATCCAAAAAGTATGATTCAAGTATACAGGAAAACAAAAACAAAAACAACTATGTAAAAAAATTGAGTAATATAAATACAATATAGTGGTTCTAAACAATAATCTCTTCGGTGGGTACAATATTCACGTGTACTGCCAACTTTCAACGGCGTCGTTTTGCTGATTTTCGTAAAACAATAAGGCCTATAAACAAGTAATGGGCCTCCGATGGGGGCCCAATCTGTAACCCAAGCATATATTTATGTTGGACATATTATTCGAGTATTCGAATGATCAATATCGATTTGCAGCACTCGCAGGGGCAAGACTTGTTGATAGAGCTCGTAATCGTGTTGCCCACATTATAAAGTTGTTTCGTTTATTCATTAAAAAAAAAAAAAGAAGAGGGTTTTATTACACAATTTGATGACGTTATACATTACGTCATCAAATTGTGTAATAAAACCTTTTTCTTCATAAACGCCTAGAAACAAAACTTTTTAGAAATTATATATATTTGTATATGTTGCCACTTGTGGTTTGTATATATTTTTAAATGTAAGTAACACTCAAAGTTGTAGCCTTTTATATAATGTGAAATCGTAAGAGATCCACACACAACGTAAAAGACATAAATCCACTTTTGTTTTTTTTTTTTTTTCTGTGGTATTCGACAATCCACATTTAAAGATAAAACAAAATGGACTTTTATGAAACATAAGTGTGTTTTTTTTCCTATGGGCGGCTGTGACTAATTTGTATATCCTTGACTTTTAATTAGTCGGTCTTCTATCAAAAGCCAACGTATTTCACTTTATGAATAAAAACATTTCCATTATATGTTGAAATAACATATTGATTAAAAAGGTTAAGTCTTATTTTCCTTGGAAAAAACAATCATTAACTAAAAATCTACGTATCATACTCTTTCTTGTTAGTTCTTATTTTCAGTGTCAAATATACATCATAACACATAAATAAATTTGAACGAAAAATGTAAGAAATAAAAATCATACACTTATTAGTTCTTATTCTTGATGTTATACCCATAAGAAATATATAAATAATTTTGACTTAAAATGTTAAAAAAAATGCTTTACAGAGGTAAAAAAAAATTCAGTTGGCTTTCGGCCTTCCTATGTTCCGCCTGTGCTTGAAGACACATCCACGGGGACCAAAATAACAATTAAACATGTGAAAATTGGATATTTTTAAAAAAAATATATATATAAGAAATTGGACAGATAAGCTTTGACGTATAAATGACGTACGAGATACGTAGCCGTTGACCACAGATAAAACACATGTGATTATAGAAGCTTCCGATCGTACGGAAGGATTATATATCTATTCACTTTCCTCGAATTGAATTCTGTTCATCGCATTTATATCATTTGTATGGATGATTTGGACTTTCTTGATTAGCTCATGCTATTAAATGGATCTGAATTTAATTTTATTCTATATTTCATTTGAATCCGCTGAATTTGTAGAATTATAAGAAGATGTTTTGAAAAACATGTTTCTTAATCTGTTACTTCTTCTTTCTCCTCTCCATGACTGTATATATGAAGATCATAGTTGTACGTACATTAAATATATATATATATATATATATGTGTGTGTGTGTGTAGTAGTATGAATCATCAAGCTTTGAAGGTCCCAAGTCCGCGATCCTTGAAAATACTTTGTCCGTAAGGGAAAAAAGGAGAAGGGTCCCAAATCGTGTCACATCGTTTAATGCCATTACCCTTTTTTTCATAATCTTGCATATTTTTCAATTCATCTCAAAAGTTAAGAGTAGACAAGTTTTGACAAAAAATAAAAGAGATGGTGTGTTTGGAATTAAATTGTTGAAATCGTTGCTTGTGTTTTTACGGCAATTCACCACATTTTAAAAATCGTTTTGAATTTCTTTTTATTTTTTATAAAACCAGAATGACAACGTGAAACATATATATATATATATATATATATATATATCATTTGACTACGTTACGGCTCAAATGGGAACAGAAAAAAAAGGATTAAAATCGAGTGATATATATATATATATTGTCGACCTAACAAAAATGGTAAAATCTAGGAAGCGGCGTAAACGTGATAAATTGAACAAAAGACAAATTACATGAAGCTCCAATTTTGACCCCAAAAAAAAAACTTTATCATCTTTGTGGATACAAAAGATGTACGGAAAACGCGTGTGGTACAAAATATGATATGGAAACATGCAACCGTGATCATGCAAAAACAAGGCTTGCCTTTTCGGTCGCAACGCAGACATATATCCACTTCGCCGCCCATTTCTTGCGATTTTTGAACCCTTTTTTGTTCTTTTTTCCGTTCTGTATTTTTTTTATAAAGAAAATCACATTTTTTTTATGTTTTGGACAAAAGCAATTACGCCCGAAATGGGTTGAAAATCTTGAAATCCAAACTTTCAACTGTCCCCGGAAACTATAGAATCAGTTTTATAGATCTTCAGCCGTAGAATGCAACAATTCTTAGTCATTTTATAATCTAAAATTATGCAATAATGAGTTCATAAACTATTGTTCTTCCGTCTCTGCATCATCGAGAGATTGGTTGACGTGTTTGTTTGCAAGAGAGTTCATGATCAACTCATCTGTTTTTTTTTTTTAAAGTTAACAATTCAACAATTTTTTTTAGTCTTTCTCAAAATTTGGATATATTTTTGCCTAAATATTAATTGGGAATTTGAAAGATACGAAAAAAATCAGATGAGTTATTTAAATTAATAGAAATAAGAAGAAATTATTTTTTTTATAAGGAATCGGATGGTTGGTGTTGGTGATAGACTAGTTGATTAAAAAAAACGATTTTCTATTTCTATTATCGTTTTTGCTTTTCATCATTTTAATTTAAAATTATTTGGAAAACATAAAAAGAAAAACAACCTTATAAAGTGAAAAAGGAATCAGTAGACTCAATGAGTTCTAAAAAAGTCTTCATCAAAGCAAACAACAATAAATAATTGAAATATAAAGATGTCAAGCCATTGGATCACAATCTCACTTACATCCAGTTTCTAATTATTAACTAAAAAAAACATAACACAGCTAATCACACAACAAAAAACACGTCAACGTTTCACCTCAAGTGGGACCCATAATCTGTTCCACGCGTCCACAGCGTCAGACAGCGCGTGATACCTACACGTGTATAAAGCGACAAAAAGAAGCCTTCGCCGTGATTTCATTAAAACCGATGGTTTGCGTTTCCGATTTCGAACCTAGCCAAGTCACTACACACGTGTCGCCAATTTACTCGTCTCTTCCAATCATCCCATGCAAAATAACCCACGTAAAGATTGGGACACGTGTCTGCCCACGTGCACGCTCCGGCCAATCTCGCCGGTTCCGGTCGTTTGTTCTTCGGCTCACAATCTGATAGACGACAAAGTGCCACGTGTGATCTGAACGACAGATTGGGAAAATAGTTTTCTGTGTATTGCATTATGTGATTTACAAGACATATATACACGCATGAGGAGATGATTGAAGAAACAAATACAGCAAAGAATCAGGGATTGATACTAAAAATAATAACAATATTATTTCCTTCCTTTACGCCCCCGCAAGATGAGGATCGTGTGCGAGACCAATCTTGACCCGCAACAAGTCAAACCGAGCTCGGGGTAGAGGCTTTGTGAGAGTGTCGACGAGTTGATCCACCGAGGAGATATGGGACACGCGGAGATGACCATCACGAACGAGACCACGGATGAAGTGATAGTCAATCGCGACATGCTTCATACGAGAATGAAAAACAGGATTAGCACATAGGTACGTCGCGCCGACATTGTCACAGAAGATTACCGGCGAGGATGAAGGTGTGATTCCAAGCTCGGAGAAAAGAGATGAAAGCCAGCGAATTTCGGAGGCCGTTGTTGCAACAGATTTGTATTCGGCTTCTGTGGATGATCTAGCCGCGGTTCTTTGCTTCTTCGAAGACCAAGAGATCGGGGGTTTGCCGTAGTACACAATGTGGGCACTTGTGGACGTATAATCATCCCGATTTCCACCCCAATCTGCGTCGGAACAGGCATGTAA